GGACTACAGGCATGTGCCACCATGCCCAGCTAATTTTTTCTATATATTTTTAGTTGTCCGATTAATTTCTTTCTATTTTTAGTAGTAACAGGGTCTCACTCTTGCTCAGGCTGGTCTCGAACACCTGACCTCGAGCGATCCTCCAGCCTTAGCCTCCCAGAGTGCTAGGATTATAGGCATGAGCCACCGTGCCCAGCCTCAAAAATAAATTTTAAAATACTCCATATTTACATAGAAATGGTATAAAACTAAAAGCTAAATTGTGTGTAAACCGAAATATCACCATATAGAATTGGAAACTGGTCTTGGTGGCAGTGTGTCTAAAGTTCAGGGGCAAAAATTAGCCTCTTAAATGTTAAAACTATAAAACAGAAATCATGAAGCAACAGCTTTGTGAGAGTATTAAAATTATTGGAATTATTAGGTAAGTTTGCTAATGAGGTCAGTAGCGGAAATTCTCACCTAGTAACCAATGCAAATAATAATACTGTTAGAATACTCAGCTGGCCAGACATCTGAAGCAGGTCAAAGGAAGCGCTCTAATAAATAAACCAACCACCTTATATTTATGTGGCATTCTAAGGTTTTTAAAGGTTTTCATTTGTATTAATCTTAGTTGATGTGATCCTTACAACCCCCCTATGCCATAGGACCGCCAGATGTCATTCTCCCCCACTGAGACTCAGAGGGGTCCAAGGTGATATAGCTGCAAAGCAGGGCACGGGGGTGGGTGGAGGAAAATGATGAACAAAAAGCAAATTACGGCATTCTTGCTAATTGGTGCACCTCAAAGAAAAACAGAGTCAGTTCAGAATGGCATTGTCTATTTTGAATTGGAGACTTTGGGTCATGCAAGTGTGCAGGCCTGCCCAAAACTGGTGAAGGCAGAAGGAAAAAAAAGAGAGGAAATCAGCACTTCAACACAGTTTAAAGATTACTGCCTTTCTCACCAATAAAAAAAAAAATCTCCCAAACCTTGAGGAATGGAAGTGGAGGAGGGCGAGGGAAGGAGCGCCGCTGGGCACGGTTCTCTCCCTGGGAGGAGGGAGTCTCACCATCAGAGCTGTGAAAATGAGTCATGTCTTTTATATCAGGACTTAGCACAGATTTCCTGGGAAATTTGTCACTGAGGATATAATAGAGATGACTGTCCTTTTCGGGAGGTTAGCTTTTTCTGGAGAGAACTGTGCAAACCAATTTGGGGTTAAATTGCAAATTAAAATGAAAATTAAACTTGTGTAATATGGCTTTTGTGGGCTGTGTTCACTTTTCCAGGAGGTTAGCATGGCCAGCCTACTTGAAAGAGAAAATGCCAGACTTGGTTGCAAAAGTGCAAAGGGGTGACATTTTGGGTTCCACCTTTCGTGATAGGAGTGACTTTTCTTTTCAAAATCTATGTGGCACCTTTCAGTTTACAAGGCAGTTGCATGTGTATCATTATATTTAAGCTTTACTAAAGCAGATTTTTGGTCCCTGTCTTCTGGATGAGAAAGCTTAAGGCTGCAGCTAAGGGCACATATTGGTGGGCTTTCCCAAAGCCCATGCCCTCTCCACTCCATCACAAGGCGGACCCACTTAGTCTCTAGGTGGGGGTGGAGTGGCTGCTATGGTTTCATATTGGCTCCTTCTTATGAAGGTGACCAACCATCTTTTTTTGCCCAGGAGGTGGGAGAGTCCCGGGCCAAATGAGACAGTTGGTCACCCTACTTATATGTCTCCATTAGTCTTCATAAGAAATTCTCCAAGAGCCACATTGAGTGCTAAGAAATTTTTAGGACAAAGCTATATGTGCATGGGATTTGCATGTCATTTCCTTCTACCCAAACAATATGTGTAACCATTTTTTAATTTAACATTTCGCTATTCTCCAAGATTGTCATTTTGGTTTCGTTTTCTTCTTCATTTCTTTACAGTTCCTCATTGTTATTGTTTCAGATCACAAAAGGGTGGATGAGGAGGAGGGTTGGAAGCAGGAAAAAATAAAGAAAGTAACACTGGATCCCATCTTAAAAACGTGGTCTTGGTTGCAGTGTGTTGAGGACTGATCTGTAGCAGTAATGCCGTAATTCTCAAACTTAAATATTGTGGTCGACAGCCTCTAACCTGGCGCTCAATGATTCCTGCCTCTTGGTATTCCTGCTCTTGTGTAATCCCCTTTCCTCTTCGCTCAGGTAGATTTGTCTTAAGGGTTCACTTCTGTGTGTTTGTGCTTGTGTGTCCTCTCTCTCTTTTCCTCCCTCTCTCCCTCCATCTCATCCCTAATTCTGGGAAAAGCCAAATACCATGTTGTGGGCAGCCCCATAGAGAGATCCACGTGGTGAGGAACTGATGTTTCAGCCAATGGCCAGCAAGGACCCGGGCCTGCCAGGGGCCGCGTGAGTGAGCTTGGAAGCAGACTCTCTAGCACCAGCTCCCTCTTGACATGACTGCAGCCCAAACACACATCTGATTGCAGTGTCATGAAAGACCATGAGTCAGAGTCATAAAGCTAAGTCAATCCCAAATTCCTCACCCATACAAATTATTAGATGATAAATGTTGGTGGTTTTCAGCCTCTATTTTTAGGGTAATTTGTTCAGAGGCAATAGATAACTAATACATGTAAGTATCAGAATCACTTAGATAACAACTCAATGAAATGTGTGTTCTGGGCTCCACCCTCAGAGATATTATTCAGCAGATGCGGCCTAGGATCTTTGCCTTTTCACCAAGAATCCCAGGAGAATCCAAACTGAACACATTTCTGCTTAAGAACACATCGAATAAACTCCCATCTGGGATGGCCTGGTCAGGGGGAAGACTGCAAGGGGGTAGAATTGCCAAATGCTCAGTTACATTTAAATTTCAGATAAATAGTAATGTTTTAGTGTAAGAATGCCCCATGCGGTATTGGGTACATATTTATATTGAAACAGTATTCATTGTTTGAAATTCAAATTTAACTGATTGTTCTGTATTTGTATTTGCTCAATATCATCCAGAGGCCTCACCGAAAGTGAAGGCCCAACATAAAGTTGTGTCTTCCTCTTCCCAAGGGCAGGATTCTTCTCCTTAAGGGCACGGAGGCCTGGGCACTTCCTTCCTGTGGGGAGGTGGCCTCCAGCAGGTGGCTGGTGGGGCCTTGGTGTCCTTCTTCCTGAGGGGTTAAGGAGAGGGCTGCGGGCTGCCCAGGAAGGTCGGGGCCAGACTGAGCCGCCCTTGGCTGGTCTGCTGGGAGGGTTTGGGGAGCTGCCCTGGAGTCCCCACACAGCCCCGCCCCACCGGCCACCCAGAGGCTGAGTCCCCACAAAGGGCGAGGAGGGGTGGGAAAGCGGGTCCAGCCTGGTGGACACGATGCCTGGTGGGCGTCGCCCACGGCGCTGACAATGAACTTGCTCCTTTTGGTGCTGTTGGCGCAGCCTTTCCAGAGCGGTGAATGAATGCCAGTCTTCTCCCACATCCCTCCAGGAACTCAGATGGATGCAGCTGCTCAGAATAAATGTGTGCATTTCTTATTCTGAGTATGTCTGAGTCTCTGATGAGTTCTATTTATTGCAGCCCTCAGCCCTGTAAAGAGGAGGATGGTTCCAAAGACGTCCCTGAATGACTGCGGTTTTAAGAACTCGGGCTTTCACTTCTTCTATATGGGCGTTCTTGTCACAGGGAACGGCCTTAATTTTGATGTATTTATTCTGAACTATGAAATATCTTCAGAGAGAATGAATGAGAATGTGAGTGTGTGTGTGTGTGAGAGAGAGACTTGAGTAGACTGAAATGCTCAAGGCAGGAATGGAAGATAAAGGCTCGGAAAATGTGCGGCTGCAGGAGAACGAGAGACTTAAATATGCGCTTTGGAACCAGACCCGAAAGTGAGGTCGCACCGCTCTGCTGTGGTTCAGCCTGGCCCAGCAGCCTGACGCAAGCTGAAGCTGAAAGCCCGCAGGACGGGAACCTGCTCAATCTCTCTCCTGAGAGAGACTGCAGTGGGGTCTGACTTTTCGAGAGGAAGGAGGAGGTTTGAAGCAAATAGGGGCTCTAGGAGAACTCTTTGGGTGCTGCTTCATACAACCAGCATGGCTAAAACAAAACAAATTCGAAAAGTAGAATCCAAGGATGATGGTGCCATCCACACCTTGTGCATCAGGAGGAATCCCACCCACAACGCGGCTGACTTGGACGGCGTGAGAATGGAATGGGTCTAGATTTACAGGATGATGCAGAGCTGCAAGGGACTTTAATAATCCAGTCCAGGTTTCTCTCTTATAAAGAAGCAATGAGGCTCCCCAACTTGGGCCTTCAACTTAACCTCTCTGGGCATCTGAAAAATTAATAGCTACCTCCCAGACTTATTGTGAGGATTAAGTGCAATGAGGTATATAAAGTACTCAGCACTTAGCACTCAATAAATGGGAGCTGTTCTTATTTTGCTGGTTCTGTGTGTTTAGGTGTGTGGTGGCAAGGTTGGGGTCGGGGGTAACTGTCTCAGCATAGTACACAAAAAAGCCCAGCTTCCTGAGACAGGGTTCGTATCCACTTAGAGTCTTTTGAATTGGAAAGAACAAAATAGACCATTTAATTCAATCCCTTTGTTTTAGAGATGTCGAAACTGAGGTCCAGACAAGTGAGGGCTTGCTCAAGATCCCACAACTACCTCATTTTCTAGAATCCCACATCATGCCTACGCAGTAGGGAAACTGCCATGCTGTTAGCCTGGAATCTCAGCTGAGATGGTGTCTCATTTCTGCAGCAGCAGATGGGCGTTCCTAACCCACCACCCAAGCGCTCCGTTGTGTCTTTTCAGGCACCACCACCACCTGCCACTGCCACAGTGGGCACCTAAACTTTCTGTAAATGAATGACAGGGCTACATTCTCAACTCCTGAAAGAAGAACTAATAATTAAGTACAAAGACAAGTCTGGGTTTGAAAATAATGACTGTGGGATTCAGAAATGATTTTGAGATAAAATGAATAGTTTAAGTAAATTTGCATTGCAGTAAACATTGCTTATGAAAAACTGCTCTGTAGAACTTAAGAGACAAAGACTTTGTCAGTTATTTTAACTCATGGCCTCAAAGGGCTTGTAGAGTGGAGGAGTAGTGAGAGTTTTGAAGCTTTTAATCCTTATGGTGCAGAAATATGCCTGTTTTCTCTTTCTGAAATAGATTAGTGGTTAAGTATGTAGTAATGTCTAGCATTGGTTAAGTACTTGGTAAGTATTTTACTTATATGTATTTGTTGAGTCTTCACAACCACCTTAGGAGATAAGTACTAGAATTATCCCCATTTTACCATTGAGAAAAACCAGAACCAGAGAGTAGCTTATTCAAGGTCCAATAGTGAGTAAATGGCAGCATCAGGACCAAATCTGCCAAGTCTGGCTTCAGAGCCAACGCTTCTATCTACCATGCTCGACTGCCTTGACAGTCAAGGTACCAAAGCTCTGAGACTAAGAACTATTAGACATGCTTCATGAATGTGTGATGTTCATCACATCACTATCCCACGGTGAAGTGCATGGGGTCTAATCCTCATGGTCCCTGACAGCCTAATCTGCCTCTACCATACTGTTGGTCTGGAAATTCCTCAGAAACACAGGTAGGCTCTTTTATTTTCTAATCTCCAGTGTTCATTCCTTACATTATGTGCTGAAAGAAAATCAGGACCCAGCTCTGCTCTTCAGTCCATAAACGGCATAGGAGCCAGCACTAACCTCAGTATTAAAGATTTTTTTTTTTTTTTTTTTGAGACAGAGTCTCGCTCTGTTGCCCTGGCTAGAGTGAGTGCCGTGGCGTCAGCCTAGCTCACAGCAACCTCAAACTCCTGGGCTCAAGCGATCCTACTGCCTCAGCCTCCCGAGTAGCTGGGACTACAGGCATGTGCCACCATGCCGGCTAATTTTTTCTATATATTTTTAGTTGTCCAATTAATTTCTTTCTATTTTTAGTAGAGACGGGGGTCTCGCTCTTGCTCAGGCTGGTTTCGAACTCCTGAGCTCAAATGATCCACCCGCCTCGGCCTCCCAGAGTGCTAGGATTACAGGAGTGAGCCACCGCCCCCGGCCCAGTATTAAAGATTTTTAAAAAGATATTTGCCTCCAAGAACTAATACCAGCTTAAAGGGAGCACTGTACTTCAGTGAGGAGAACAATGAAGAGATGCAATGGTAGCAAATCTATTTCCATTTTTTTTCTTTAGATTTCTCTACGGCACCTAGTTTTTAAATCCCTCTTTTTTTCTCATTGTAATTCGGAGATGGTGGCACCATAGCTTCTTAGAATAAGTTAAATTATATAGTGGTCTTCGGAGATCTATAATAAATTCAATAGCAAGTAAATGCATGGAGAAGAGGCACTTACTTGTAATTTGGCTTGAATAAATGAATGAATGTTTCAATATCCTTTTTATACATAAGGCAGAATGCTATACACTACATACTCTACACACCCTAAACCACTCCTCTGAACCTTTCACTTATATCTTGTAGCACATTTCATATTATCACATAAAGATTTACATCCTCCTTTCTCATGACTTCATAGGATTTCATTGTTTGCATGTATCAGAATTTATTTAGCTATCATCTAGTAAAGAATATTTCAATTGTGCCTAGTCTTAAGCTCTTACAAATAATGCTGAAATAAATATTTACACACATGTATGTATATTTTTGTTTTGGTTTGGTTTTGTTGTTGTTTTTATTGTTATTTGTGAGAAAAAATCCTAGAAGTGGGGTTGTTAGGTAAAAGAATATTTGGATTTTAAATTTTAATTGATATTTGCAAATAATGCTACAAAGAAGTTGCACTGATTTACTCTTAGAAGGAATTTTAAATGCTGAGGCTAGCCACCCTTGTTATCTGACTAGATTTTTATATAACATACAGCTTTGCTGTGTGGTATAACAGGTAAGTCAGATGATAATGAATATATTAAACAAATAGGCACATTCATCAAAATATTTTGAATTGCTTAGTGGGAAAGAGTGTGGCAGCCTGATGGACCTCTGGCAATGACACTGTTGTGGCAGAGAAGAAGAATCAGGTGTGGCCTTCATGTCTGGTAACTGGCAAATGGTCACTTGTGCAAAATATTTACCATATTTCACTGGGACCTTCTAACACTATATTCTTTTGATCTAAACCCAGGTTGGTAAAGGAAATATGTGTGATATGAACTTGCACACTTCCCTGTATGCTACATCAGATAAGCACATGGAACTGAACTCTATAAAATCCACCTTCCCTTCTGAAACGTACCTCTCAAGGTGTGCATTTCTGGATCAGGTTAAGCTAGAGTTACCTGACTTTTTTCATCCACGACACCTGAGAATTCAGGTGATTCCTTTGATTTGTGACTTTTACAAACTCCTGCCTCAGCTGAGAGGGTTTAATGAGTCGATAATTAACACCCGGGACTTTTGGTCCTCCCTGCAGTTATATAGTGGTAGAGAAACACAACTGGCTGCAGACTTGTCAAGGAAGAAGATTAAAGCTATTAGCATGGTAAGCTTTATAGATTAGCTATGAACTCCCCATGTAATTCTATCTTCATCCTTCATTACTAAGGATAGTAAAAAAAATCAACGTGTCATTAACCTAGCATGTATCTGGTATGATTTTACTACTTCCCATCCTTACAAGGCAGACAGGAGCAGGTGACACTTAGCCTAATCAAAAACCATATCCAGGCTGGGCGTCGTAGTGCACGCCTGTAATCCCAGCACTTTGGAAGGCTGAGACAGGATTGTCTGAGCCCAGGAGTTTGAGGTTACAGTGAGTTATGATCAGGCTGTTGTACTCCAGCCTGGGTGACAGAATGGGACCCTATCTCAAAAAAAAAAAAAATCATATTTAGATGCTAGAAAATAAATTTCCAGCTGAGCCCAGATCATTTTATTAACAAAATATGTGTGTCTATCCAGGCCTGGCTCTCAGACACTATGGTAGATGTTCAAGAAATATAAAGCAGCTGGACATCGGCAAATGGGAGCAGAAAAGGGTAGACACAGAGACGAGCTGGCAAGCTGTTACAGCAATTCAGGAAGGAGATGCCAAAGGCCTGCACGAAGGCAGTGCTAGTAAAAACAGAAGAGAAGAGGCAAATTAGGGAGTGACCAAAGGAAGACTAGATCAGGCTGACTATTATAGCGTAATGCAAAAGGCACAGGCCAGACTCTGACCTCTACCTTACAGCTGCATGACCTCATGACCTTGAATCGTTCTGAGCCTTCATTTTTCCACCTATAAAATTAGGAGAGTAATCCTGTGCCCATCTTACTGGATTAACGAGATCAGTGAGTTAGCATACAGCACATGGTCTGACTCATCACGGTGAGTACTCAAAAAAGGCTTGTTTCCTTCTTCATCTGCCCATCTCCGTACCAGCCTCCTGTCTCGTGCAGAAGCATCCCAGTGTTGTGGCAGACAGTCCTCAGGGCTGTACTCCAGGGCCCTCTGCGTTTGCCCCGAGGGACATGGAGTTACCTGTGGTAATTCTGCTCAGAGTCAGCATGAGGGAAGTCAGCTGAAGA